CTTTCCCTATCAGCACAGATACAGCTAGTCGCTCTGGAGACATGCAAAGTATCCCCTATGCGCAGGAGCTCAGTTTGCTTAACCATCTCCAAGTGATAGATATCAGCTATCTCCAGACTTTCTAAAGCAGTCTGGTTGAGAGCCCTAGATGGGGAAAACAATGCTGTTACCTACATTTGGGAATATATCTATAGGATTTATTAACATATGTAGAATTACTGGGTCAAAGAATACGTGCATTTTAATCTATGAGAGACTATCTATGCTAACTCTCCAACCATAGTCTTAGAATCATAGCTGGAAGGGGCTTTAGGGATTCCCTAATTCAGTTTTTTAAATTCCCGGATTATCTTTAGAACTCAAGGCTCCCACAGTGGCTGCCTGGGCCGGGGTGAATGGGGGCAGAGGAGGACAGGACAGGGAGTGAGGGAAAACCAGGAGAGATGCAGGATCTCCATGTCCTCAACTCTGCTTCCATTAGGGCAGCATTACTTTCCTCTGCTTTATAGGATTAGGACCCATGCTTTGTTAGGGGAAAGGGTTCTGCTACCTGACACCAACAACAAACAAACACCACCGATTTTACAGCTGGGGAAACTGAGGCCCAGAAAGGACACATAGTGGAACCAAGACCAGAGCCTGAGTCTTTGCACTCTAGATCTATTCCTAACTCCATTTCATCGTGCTGTGGGGTTCACCTGGTCTTCCCTTGGATGCTTCCTACTGCAGGGGGCTCATACCTACCCTGGAGCAGCCAATGCCATGGGAGCCGATCTAGAAGGGTTCAATCACTGTAGCTGCTTCCAATGGTGGGCGTTGAGGAGCAGAGCCTCTGTCTCCCGCGTGAGGCCACGATTGCCCGTCAACTAGACACCCTCGACTAGATGAGGAATTTCCCTCTGTGGAGGTTCTGAGTCAGGAGGCCTTGATGGGGCCCAGGTATCAACATTTAAATCTCTAGGGCAATATTTCTCAAAATAACCTGTAGTAGAGGAACAATTTTTTTTTAATTTCCAATTTATCTTGGACTGATACTTTTCAAGATATGATAAAAGTCTACTATGCAAAAAATAAAAATTTTAAAAGACATACAAAACTTGTTTTTTTTCAAATTATCAGTTTCAACAGACCTAACCTAACTCAGTCAAATTGCTGTAAAAGTTTCTAAACACTGACTGTCAATTTCTGTTTTTATCTCATCATGGAATAGTAACAAATAGTTTGCAGACTGGTACCAGTCCTGGGACCACACTTTGAGTAGCCCCCTTTCTAGGCGAGAGTGCTACAGAGAGGAAAACACTATTTTAAGCTATTAACCTTAAGTGACAGTAGAAAGAGCTCTGAGCACAGGAGTCAGGGGCCAAGGTTCTGGTCCTGGCTTACTGTCTTACTATAAATGAGTCCTTTCCTCTCTCTGGGTCTCAGTTTTCCTATCTGTAAAATGATTATTACTAACCTGCCCATCACGTTCCAATAAGGTAATGGAGTTTTCCCTGGAGAGCTAGGGAAAAGGAACCTCCTGCCAGTATCCAACCCCATGTTAGAAAGTCATGGAATTGAACAGGTCTGATTTAAGAGAATAGGGGTTTTAATGGTGTAAGGAGGTGGGAGGGATGGAAGAGGTGGAATGTGAGTGGGGAAGCATGAGGGATGATTGGGAAGGCAAGTCTGCAAGAGCTGACGCAGCAAAGAGCAGCTGAGTGGAGGAGTGAAGGAGAAAGGGGGCCGTGACCATGGCGCCGACCCCACATGGAAGATGGCTGGGTTGATGATGCTGCTAAATGGGACAGAAGCCTCCTTCCACCTCCCTCTCTCACTAGACTCCACCAGCAATCTTTCTCTCTTTTTCCTTGTATTGAACCCCCAGATTCCCTTGGAATACTTCCTATGTCTCTTCCCAGCCCCCGATCCCAGCCCCTGCCTGGCCACTGTGAGCTGGTTCCAAGGAGGAGCACACTGAACCCTGAGAGTCAGCTGAGGACAGTGAGCTCCAGGGGCACCGGGACACGCCCTTAGAAGGTCAGGCTGGTGCTTCTGGAAAACCACAGGGCACAGGGTAAAGAACAAAGCCTTTCTCAAGGACACACTCCTGCTGA